TGAACACATAAGTTAAATGCTTTTCTCTATGCCAACAATAACAATTTTGAAAATATAATGGAATAATAACACATTCTATTCTTACTGGCAACAAATATTAAATATAATATTAAATAACATTCAAATTAAAACATTTTCTCCCAAATTAATGTTTAACTTTGAGATAATTCCAAGTAATAAACCAAAGAAGATTTGTCGAACCCTGAAATGGAAAATTTTGTTCAAAAGAATGAATAGTCAAGAAGATATTTTACAAAACAAAATAATGTAGAGAGAGTTTTACCATTAGATGATAAAATATAAAGTAACTATGGTTTAAGCAGGGTGCAGGTAGAGCCAGGATTTGCAAAGAGATTCATGGAAAAGGACAAACATCTACTAAAACAAATCACTTACAGATAAGTACTTGATATATGATTAGCATGCATTTTGAATTCAAGGAGAGATTACATTTTAAAATAAATGACACTAGCACTGTAATCTATAAACTAAAAATAGAAATGTGAAAAAAATCAATCAATAAACCATACACTCTGCTTTTTAGGAAAAGACTCACACTCTGGGTGAACTTGAAAGCTGCTACCACCTCATTCATCTGGAGAAGTTAGTGATATACTAACTCTGGGTTCTGTACTTGCAAGAGCTGGCTCCAGCCCTAGCTGACACTATCACTTAATTAGCCAGGCTAACACTGGCTAAGCTGATTGGCTAAGTAAAAGGATGTATTACTGGATAGTCTCTTTCCTTGTCTGTAAACTTGGAGAGTGACAGTACCCATCTCAATAGTAAACTCTCACAAGATGCTGCCAAGAGCCCCAGTTTTCCTGCTGCATCATGCTTCTGCCTCCATAAAGAATTTATTCTCAGAATTTTCATAAGATGCATGTGGACCTCCCAGATGTTGGCTTCTGCAGTGGCTCATCCAGGGGTTCGTGCAGCCCAGGAGATGAAGGCAGGTGGAGGGCATGGCAGGAACTTGGCTCCAGGCCCTGAAATGCTGACAGATAAACTGGCTTTCCACTTGGAGATGACATTCACTTTTCAATTATAGCACTTTCTCCCAGACATCAGCCTAAACACAGAGCATGACCAGCGCTTCCATTTTAAGACCATAATTGGTGAGTCTAGCCCTTAAACCCTTTCATAGAGCTTCTCTAAAATTACAATGTTCTCACCCTCCAAAAATACACAGCTCAGTTCGGTCATGTTGCAAAAATGCCACTTGTATTGACCCTGAAAATAGCAACATGTGGACGACACTTAAGAAAATGAAAACCCAGCATCTCTTGCAGTCAAGCCAGGACCCAAGCTCAGGAAGACGCAGCTCCTGCATCTAAGGATGGTGCCCACTACTCTAGGACAGAGTATGGGGGTTTACCTTCCTCTTGCTGGGCTTGCATGAAACTGGTTACATTATTTGGCAACTTCTCTGGATGAATCTTTTCTCTCTCTTATTTTTCCTTTCTTGTTCTTATGTTAAAAAGCGTAGACATGTTATAGACTGAATGTTGCATCCTCCTCAAATTTATGTTGCAACCCTAGCCTCCAATGGGATGTTATAAAAAGGTGGGGCCTTTGGGAGCTGATCAGGATGTGGAGCCCTCATGAGGCTATCACGCCCTTCTAAGAAGAGGCAACAGAGGGCTTGCTCTCTTTGATCTCTGCCATGTGAGGATACATCAAGAAGATGGCTACCCCTCAACTAGAAAGAGGGCCCCAGCAAGAATCCAATCATGCTGCCACTCTGCTTTCAAACTTCCAGCCTCTGGAACTGTGAGAAATGAATGTGTGTCGTTTAAGCCACTCAGCCTATGGTATTCTGTTACAGCAGCCCGAGCCAACCAAAAGGCAGCACTAGGTTGTTTTGCTGCTTTATTTGCCAGTCTAATTTTAGTCAACCCCCCACCAGTGTGCTGAATGTCAAAGACAGTTTTAAGATAAAAATTATAAGCTTCCCTGCATAGCTAAGAGCATGACGTTATCAAAGGCAAAGACTCTTTTATACCTGGGGATAATGTTCTGGAAAAGGTGCATAGGAAACTCAGATGGGACAGAAGGAGCATTGACTTAGAGCCAAGACGTCTGCCTCAGTTCTGGCCTAGTTAATTTCCAGCTCCGTGTTCTGAAAAATGTCATATAACTTCTCTGAGTTTCTGACTCCTTATTTGTGAAAGAGGCACTAGAGCTCCTACTCAACCCCTTATTCGGGTGCTCTCAGGATCAAACGTGACGATGAAGTGAATATGTTTTGTAAACTTTAAAGTGCTGTGCTTCAGATCACCATAGTGTTCTGTGAACACAAGGTAAATGATACCAAATATTTATTAAAGGACATACTTCTGTGGTCTTCTGGGAAAAATAAGCAAGAAAACAAGAAAGAAGAGAACATGAAAGTAAGCAAGAAAGTATGTGTATGACACACACACACAGAGATTTTCTTTATTAACGATCACTGACGCTCCCACTTAAAATAGTGTGTGTATGATACAGAGAGAGAGAGAGATTTTCTTTATTAACGATCACTGACGCTCCCACTGAACATAGTGTGTGTATGATACAGAGAGAGAGAGAGATTTTCTTTATTAATGATCACTGACGCTCCCACTGAACATAGTGTGTGTATGATACAGAGAGAGAGAGATTTTCTTTATTAATGATCACTGATGCTCCCACTGAACATAGTGTGTGTATGATACAGAGAGAGAGAAAGATTTTCTTTATTAATGATCACTGACGCTCCCACTGAACATAGTGTGTGTATGATACAGAGAGAGAGAGATTTTCTTTATTAATGATCACTGATGCTCCCACTGAACATAGTGTGTGTATGATACAGAGAGAGAGAGATTTTCTTTATTAATGATCACTGACGCTCCCACTGAACATAGTGTGTGTATGATACAGAGAGAGAGAGATTTTCTTTATTAACGATCACTGACGCTCCCACTGAACATAGTGTGTGTATGATACAGAGAGAGAGAGAGATTTTCTTTATTAACGATCACTGACGCTCCCACTGAACATAGTGTGTGTATGATACAGAGAGAGAGAGAGATTTTCTTTATTAACGATCACTGACGCTCCCACTGAACATAGTGTGTGTATGATACAGAGAGAGAGAGAGATTTTCTTTATTAATGATCACTGACGCTCCCACTGAACATAGTGTGTGTATGATACAGAGAGAGAGAGAGATTTTCTTTATTAACGATCACTGACGCTCCCACTGAACATAGTGTGTGTATGATACAGAGAGAGAGAGAGATTTTCTTTATTAACGATCACTGACGCTCCCACTGAACATAGTGTGTGTATGATACAGAGAGAGAGAGAGATTTTCTTTATTAATGATCACTGACGCTCCCACTGAACATAGTGTGTGTATGATACAGAGAGAGAGAGAGAGATTTTCTTTATTAACGATCACTGACGCTCCCACTGAACATAGTGTGTGTATGATACAGAGAGAGAGAGAGATTTTCTTTATTAATGATCACTGACGCTCCCACTGAACATAGTGTGTGTATGATACAGAGAGAGAGAGAGATTTTCTTTATTAACGATCACTGACGCTCCCACTGAACATAGTGTGTGTATGATACAGAGAGAGAGAGAGATTTTCTTTATTAACGATCACTGACGCTCCCACTGAACATCTCTCTGGGCATGTTCTGGAATCAGCACTTCCGAATGATTATGGAAGCCTATCTTGGGAGGCAGCCTTTCAGCCTCTTCAGTGTTATTTATGGACGTATGATACATCTGTTGACCTAGATTCATAGTCCCTCCTCTCAGTGGAACCATAAGTCCACAGTTCAGGGTCACCCTCACTTGGTCTGGCTCTAGGCACAGCCTTTGTGCCAGTTGGGACAAGCTCATGCAGGCCTCCTCACCTTGCCCAAGCCATCTCTGTGGCTGCTACACCACTGCTACACCAGTGCCTCCCTCCCCCATGCTGATACAGCCATGTCCTATGTATGGGACTGGGGAGGCATTACCAGAGAGCAGTTGAAGGGCACAAGCTTCACAGATACAAAGGCAGCTCCAATCCTGTTCCATTGTATAGGAACAGTGCACTCACAGGCAGTCCACTTTAACTTCTTGTGTCTTATTTTCTTCATATTTAAGGGAAGATGCCTTACCTGGGGCTTCTGAGAAACAGACTCTCACATGGAGATTTGCATGCAAGAAGCTTGGTGCAGTGTACTTGGGATGTAGAAGGAAATGAGGGGCAGCATTGGCCAGAGGAAGATGAACTTTGATGCAAATAAAACGATGGCCCCACTGGTCTTCCAGTGAGCTCTGAAGCTAGGCTGTCCCTTCAGATTTGTTTCATTTTGAAGCTGGGGGTCTCAACCTCTGTTTATCCACATGGACGTGTTGGAATACAGGCTGTCACTGGGGAAGGGGAGGCAGTTTTCTTAGATCAAAGGCAATTCCTGGAGACTCAGTTGGGAGCTGCCAACCATCAGCTTAACAACAGTTGGGGAAATGAGAGCCTTGGTCCTGCAGGGGGGTCTCAGTCCTGTAGGAAGTCTGGGTAGCACCCCACAGTGTCCCCTACAGAGATCAACTGATAGCAACTGATGTAGCGTCTGTGAAAACCTGAGCATAGTACCACATAATCAACCTGATATGTCTGTTAGTGTCATTATTACCTCATATTATTCTAGTTGTTGCTTTCTAACAATTATATAATGATGTTTTGCTTCTCTTCTCAACTTCTCTCCCATTGCTTAATAGAAGCAGCCATGCTTTCTGTTTGTTTCATACCATTTTCAACCTTTGTTTTCCTAGGCTTGAGCACAGAGTTTGGCTTATAAATAACTTAATAAATAGTTGTAGATGGAAAGACAGATCAAGGTGTAGGATTGCACCTGAATGGAGACCACAAGGAGGATCCTCCTGAGGCTACCTTTGAGGATACTGAGTATACACTGCTGTCTTTATTACTCACCAGGTGACAGCTGTGTGTGACTGTTCCTTGCTTTCTCTCCTAGTCTCTCTGGATTCGTGGCAGTCCCTGGCCCTGTCTTCAGTGGTTGTCGATCCATCCATTAGGAACTTTGATGTTGCCCATGTCAGCACTGCTGCCGCCAGCAATTTCTCTGCTGTCCGAGACCTCTGTTTGTCAGGTAAGAAGAGTTTCCAACCTCCAGGTAGGGTAGGACAAAGCCTCACACAAGTGCTGCTCAAGATTCTCACCTTAGATAAACACATGAGATACCATGATAACCTAGGGTGCTTGGAAGTAAGGGATTAACCTGGGGAAGAAGACCCGGGTGAGGTCTTTCTCATTCCCTCTCAGGGCAGCCAAGGTGTCCAAGGGAATATGCCAGCCGGAAGATGAGGGACATAAACCCAGGTCAGAGGAAGATTAGAAGGATCTAGTGGGCTAGTCTGAGGCAGAAAAGATGCACATGTACAGCAGCTCTGGTAGTTGACCTCGGATAGCAGGTGGGCTGTTGCAGTGAGGAGGAAGTACACTTGTCTGGCCTACAGAATACAGCTAAGAGCTATTCTTCTGGTAAAACTCGAATTTCCAGAGACATTTTTTTCTTTCTTTTTTCTCTTTTTTGAGACAGATTCTTGCTCTGTCACCCAGGCTGGAGTGCAGTAGTACGATCTCTGCTCACTACAACCTCCACCTCCTGGGTTCAAGCAATTCTCCTGTCTCAGCCTTCCAAGTAGCTGGGACTACAGGCATACACCACCACGCCTGGCTAAATTTTGTATTTTTAGTAGAGACAAGGTTTCACCATATTGGCCAGGCTGATCTCAAACTCCTGACCTTGTGATCTGCCTGCCTTGGCCTTCCAAAATGCTGGGATTACAGGCATGAGCCACCACCCCCAGCCTCCAGAGACATTTTTCAATGCAGTTTGAAGAACTTTTTAAATAGGCAAAGCTGTCCACAGATGCATAATTTCTTTAGAGAGTTTTTGGTCATTGTTGATATTTAAACAAAAGCTAGGTAACCACTTGATAGGAATGTTCAACAAAGAATTTTAGCTTCTGAGAGGGACTGAGATCAGATAACATTTATACCCTTTCCAAGATTCTAACCCCTTCCGAGGTTCTATGAATTCCATGAATCTCCTTCTCTACAAGGCTGGATAATAATATGCACAAAGCTATGCTTATCTTGCAGATTGGACCACCACGTACAGATACACAGGTTATGTGTTGCATACCTCTGGGTGGTACAATTCACAGAAATTGAACCATAAATAGGGCTGTTAGACTGTGAACATCAGACCAATCAAATGAAGCAGCATTTTTTCAGAACTGTTCTCAGGACTGAATGTCATATAGTTTAAATTGTCCAGTGCAGAACTTGACGTGTATGGGAAAGGGCATGGTCCCTGGTGGAACAGTGGGTATGGTGCTAGCTGAGGAGGCACTGACGGACAGGAGAGGGAGACAGAGCTGAAAACAAAGTCTAGAGTATGGAAAGGCTTAATCCTTAAGCCCATGGGGAGCCATGGAGTATATTAAGCAGGGAAATAACAAGAGCACATTTTTAAATTAAATAAACAAAAAAGACCTTAATCCTGTGTGAAAGGTAGATTGATGAGAGGGTTGGGTTTCCCATCGCTACCATTTTATATTTCCATCCCCTGGCACAGTGCCTAGGATTTATTATAGTGCTCAAATAAATGAGTGATTGCATGACTGATGGATGGCTGGATGGATGGATTCATGGATTCATGGTTTCATGGATGCATGATTAAATGAAATGATACATGGATGGAAGGGTGGATAAGTGGATGGCTGGATGGATATACGGATGAATTCATGAATTCATTGGATGAAAGGATAGATGGATGGAAGGGTGGATGAATGGATGGGTGGATGGATGAATGGATGGATAGATGGATTGATTCATGCATGCATGATTGAATAGAAAAATGGTTGAATGGAAAGGTGGATGAGTGGATGGGTGGATGGATGATTGATAATTGGATGGATGCCTGAGCGAAGTAACATCTCTGAGGCCCAAGCATCACTCCTCGCCTTCTTCTCTGTAGAATGTTCCCAACATGAGGCCTGTCTCACCACGACTCTGCAGACCCAACCTGGGGCTATGAGATGTATGTTCTATCCTGATACCCAAAGCTGCACACATAGTCTGCAGGGCCAGTACTGCCACCTTCTGCTTCGTGAAGAGGCCACCCACATCTACCGGAAACAAGGTAAGCCCAGGCCTAAGCCTTTGCAGCCATCCTGGGAAACGGGGTCTGGCTCAGAGGAACTATTTAAGCACATGGTGACTTGGAGGACAATGGCTTTTGTTAGCCAAAGTTCTGGGCTAGGTACAGTCACTTGTAGTGAACTAAAGGAAAGTATAAAACATTCCTAGTCCTGTATCACTTTTATTCATTTATTTCTTTGAGTTATAGAAGTCATCTTGGTTTTGAAGAGTTTCTTAGTAAAATAATTAAAGAGCCCACTTTTCATTTATGGTTTTGTAGTTTAGAGAGTTCTTTCACAGGCCTCATCTCATTTGGTCCTCACACTAATCCTGTATGGTGACAGGCTAAGGGCTTTATCCCTGTCTTAGATATCAGAAGGCTGTAGCCCAGAGAATTTAAGTTCCTTCTGTGTTTTCACACAGCTAGTGATGATAGAGCTGGAACTTGGAGTCAGTTCACCTAGCTCAAGATGCAAAGCAGCGCAGCCTAACTATTGCATCATAAACACTTTGGAGAGGGAAGCTGTTCCTGGCTGAGTTGAGTAGTTTTAGAACATGTGTCAGATACTGTGTTGGTGCTGGGGATCCAGGCAAGGCAAGGGGGAACATCCGTAAATCCACCACTGAGGAAGACTACTAAGAGCTGTAGAACAGGAAACAGGAGCTGAGCATCTGGGGGAAGCCTCCACTAAGACATGTTTATTGGATGAAATTAAGGACTGTTAACTTGTTGGCTACATCTGCCATCTTTTCTTCTAGAGCAAGGTTCTACAACCATACTTTTTTGTTTCCACTAATCAACTGCTATTGTAGCATGAATGCAGCAGTAAACAACGTGTAAGCCAGTAGATGTGACTGCGTTCTGATAAAACTTTATTGAAAAAACCAAGTAGAAGCAGATCTGGCCCCATGCTATCCTAGAGCATTGACAGTTCTTTGGTTCTGTCTTGATGCCAGAGATATCCTCCTCTTTTGCCCCCTCCTCAACCTTAGCCTTCAGACTACAAGAGTGTCTTCCAGACCCGACAGTGCTTTGATTCCTATGTGATGAGATATTAGGCCCTCAGTTGAAAGTCTTGTCCTCAATTTATCTGGACATTCATATTATTTAGTCAAGCTAAGTAGATTTTTTTCTGAGACAGAGTCTCACTCTGTCACCCAGGCTGGAGTGCAGTTGCATAATCTTGGCTCACTGCAACCTCTGCCTCCTGGGTTCAAGTGATTCTCATGCCTCGCTGGGACTACAGGTGCATGCCATGATGACCAGCTGATTTTTGTATTTTTAGTAGAGACGGGGTTTTGCCATGTTGGCCAGGCTGGCCTTGAACTCCCAGCCTCAAGGGATCCACCCACCTTGGCCTCCCAAAGTGCTGAGATTATAGATTTTAATAGTATATTTCAGAATAGTGTAGCCAATCTGTGTGGTAGTTCTGCTAAAAAATGCCTTAACATTGAGGTTTGAGTTCTGTAAAACACAAATTAGACTGCTTCTCTATTACTTCAGTGTGACTAAAATTCAATTCGAAATGCTCACTTCCAAAAGAAGACGTGTGCATATATGCATCTACAGGTATCTCGACTTCCATGCAGACATTATTTGTTTGCAGCTAACACACATGGCCACAGATAATTTTCTTAACCCAGGTAATCATGTGGCCTCTGTGGGTATCCTGGAGAGAATCTACCATTTCTGCAAAAGAATTTGAAAGAGAGAACTTCAGGTCTAACATTTTTCCCATGTTTGATCTCATTGAGTTTGTGATTCACTGGCCAGCTTCTGAAGGGAAGACTGAATACCACTCACGGCCCATAGGAATGCACGCCTGCATTCCCCCGAAATTCTTCAGCCTTGATATTTGTTCTGGCTTTGTTCCTGCCTTCGGGTGATGCCACGTACATAAAATGTGGCTGTTTCCTGCATAGCAGAATGAGGTTCCATCACTTCAGCAGCCATGGTCCTGAGTGCTTGCCTGAGACCCCTTGATTTATGATAGTGACGGGAAGTTTGGCAAGGAGGAACTGTGGGGGTGACATCAGCCATAATTTATGATTGAGGCCAGATTAAAAAACAGCAACTATTCCTTCCAGCCTGAGTTTCTATTTTAAGTTCTAACTCATATTCCAATGTTTTTGCAACAGAGAGGCTTTGTTTGCTCTATTTATTTATTTGTTTGTTTGTAGAAAGTGAACTATTTAAAGAGAGAGAAAAGGAGAAGGTAGGAAAAAGAAACAGCTAACTCACACTGAGTGAGAGAATCCAGAAAGATGGAATCCAAGAGAAAAAAGCAGCTTCCACCCTGAGTGGGAGGGAATAGAGAGATGGAGTTTAGGAGGGGAAGACAGGCTTCCATGAGAGAGTGTGGAAGGGGACCCCAGAGGGGATATCCAGGAGAGAGAAAGATGGCTTCCACAAAGGGAGTGTTTGTGGAAGGGGGCCCAAACATGGAGTCCCTGCTCTTTTTTTTCTTCTTCTTTTCCTTTTTTTCTCTCCCTGTGTCCCCCAACCCCTGACAATTCCTTCCTCTTTTTTCTTCTATTCATTAATTAATTAATTCATTCATTCGTTTACTTATATGTTGGACTCCTGCCATTTTTCAGGTACTGGAACTGATAGGCTTCTGCCTGCCTGCCTCTTGGTCTGTCTGCCTCACCAGGGGATTGGGTGTTGTTTGCTGTCTGCTTCTCTGTTCATTTTATATATGTACATATATAAATATATATATATATACGTGTATAGACACACACACACATATACATATATGTACATATATTTATATATATACAATTATATATATAATTATATAAAAATATATATATAATTGCACTTTAGGTTCTGGGGTACATGTGCAGAACATGCAGGATTGTTGCATAGGTATATACATGGCAATGTGGTTTGCTGCCTCCATTTCCCCATCACCTATATCTGGCATTTTTCCCCATGTTATCCCTCCTCGACCTACCTCCTCCCTCTGTCCCTCCCCTACCCACCAAACAGACCTCAGTGTGTGATGTTCCCCTCCCTGTGTCATGTATTCTCATTCTTCAACACCCGCCTATGAGTGAGAACATGTGTTTGATTTTCTGTTCTTGTGTCAGTTTGCTGAAAATGATGGTTTCCAGATTCATCCATGTCCTTACCAAGGACATGAACTCATAGTTTTTCATGGCTGCATAGTATTCTATGATGTATATGTGCCACATTTTCCTTCTTCAGTCTATCATCGATGGACATTTGGGTTGGTTCCAGGTCTTTGCTATTGTAAACAGTGCCACAATGAACATATGTTTTCATGTGTCTTTATAATAGAACAATTTATAATCCTTTGTATATATACCCAGTAATGGGATTGCTGGGTCAAATGGTATTTCTATTTCTAGGTCCTTGAGGAATCGCCACACTGTCTTTCACAATGGTTGTAGATGTGTGGCATTGCCTCCGAGGCCTCTGTTCTGTTCGTTGGTCTATATCTCTGTTTTGGTACCAGTACCCTGCTGTTTTGATTACCATAGCCTTTAAGTATAGTTTGAAGTCAGGTAGTGTGATGCCTCCAGCTTTGTTCTTTTTGCTTAGGATTGTCTTGGCTATGCAGGCTCTCCTTTGGTTCAATATGAAGTTTAAGGTGGTTTTTCCAATTCTGTGAAGAAGGTCAGAGGTAGCTTGATGGGGATAGCATTGAATCTATGAATTACTTTGGGCAGTATGGCCATTTTTATGATATTGACTCTTCCTAACCATGAGCATGGACTGTTTCTCCATCTGTTTGTGTCCTCTCATATTTCCTTGAACAGTAGTTTATAGCTCTCCTTGAAGAGGTCCTTTACATCCTTTGTTAGTTGTATTCCTAGGTATTTTATTCTCTTTGTGGCAGTTGTGAATGGCAGTTCATTCTTGATTTGGATCTCTTTAAGTCCTGTTATTGGTGTATAGTAATGCTTGTGATTTCTGCACATTGATTTTGTATCCTGAGACTTTGCTGAAGTTGCTTATCAGTTTCAGGAGATTTTGGGCTGAGATGATGGGGTCTTCTAAATATACAATCATGTCTGCAAATAGAGACAATTTGACTTCCTCCTTTCCTAATTGAATACCCTTTATTTCTTTTTCTTGCCTGATTGCTCTGGCTAGAATTTCCAATACTATGTTGAATAGGAGTGGTGAGAGAGGGCATCCTTGTCTAGTGCCATACTTCTCTGTTCTTTTGCAAGGCCCCAGGGTGCTGGTAAGGGGTCCTGGGCCTTGGACCCATGCATAGAAGAGATTAGCATTGCATTCTGTATATTTTGGTGCCTAATAAAAATCAGCTTTCTTTGCTAATTTTTTTGTTTGTTTACTTTGAAAACCTGACTAGATTTAAGCTGTTAGGGGTCTGAATAAATGACTGACATTTTCAAGGTGCAAAAAGCAGTGATTTTTCTTTTGCTGAAAGCACATTCAGAATGCTAGTGGAGAGAGCACTCACGGAGGCCTCTCCCCTTCCTCACTCCTTTCCCTTCCCTTTCCCAACAGGAATCTCTCTGCTCAGCTATGAGGCATCTGTACCTTCTGTGCCCATTGCCACTCATGGCAAGCTGCTGGGCAGGTCCCAGGCCATCCAGGTGGGCACCTCATGGAAGCAAGTGGACCAGTTCCTTGGAGTTCCATATGCTGCCCCACCCCTGGCAGAGAGGCGCTTCCGGGCACCGGAGCCCTTGAACTGGACAGGGTCCTGGGATGCCAGCAAGCTAAGGTATGGGTTGAGTGGAGTACATGTTGGTAAATGCTCAGAGAAGCCTTATCTATTCTGATCTATCAAAGTGAGTCTCAGTGGTAGAGCAGTGCATTTTGGATAAAGTGATGTATGGAGAATGGAATCTATTGGCTAAGGTATTATTAAATGCTGTGACAGATAAACTCCCAAGTATCAGTGGCTTAATGGTGTTTTGCTCATGTGAAGCCCATCTAGTGATGGAGGGGCCTGTATGCTCTGCTCCATGCAGTGATTCAGGGACCAAGGCTGATAGAGGCTCTCCCTTCCTCAGCATGAATTTTCCAAGGTCCCCTGGACATTGATCCAGGAAGAGAGGCTTTAATTGACAGGAGAGGTTCCCATGGGATAAACCTGGAAATGGGGTTTACATATCACTTACACAGGTATTGCAGTGGCCAAGCTCAGCTTCCTGGCCACATATGATCTTAACGAAGCTGGGAGACACAGAACTGAAGGAAAAGAAAATTTTTCCCACTAGGAACAAAATTACTAGTTTTTTTTTAAAGCACCCATCTTCTTTCCTCATCAAAAATTTCATTTTTTCCTATCTTTTCCATGTGTACACCACTTTAAATAGCAAGCATATTAAAGAACAATATTGTGATTTTTTTCTAATTAAAGCATACTCAGAGTACCTGTGAAAACAGTACTTACTACTGCTGCTCTTCTCCTCCCCTCCTGAATCTCCTTCTCAACAGGTACCTATACTCAGGTAGCTGCACCTCCATACTCATTACCCCCATGGCTGGCTGCTGAGCAGGTCTATGAGTCCATAACCAGATAGAGTGATGAGCTAAGAGGCTCTTGGAGTACTCCAGGAAAAGGATAATGAGGATGAGGACTTCAGGATGGTGAAGTGGGATGGTGGCGGTGGGAGTGCAAAGGCATGTCCATCTGCTCCACCACTGGGGAAAAAAAAATCAAATATTCATGAGTTAGAGTATCCTACCGTGTTAGGATGTACCCATTTTGACAGATGAAGTGATGGAGTTACATAGGGTTTGAGTGGAGAGTAGTTGAGAGCTTGGGTCATTGTAGTCCAGGGCTAGTGAAGATTGGGTGATGAGTCACATCACCCATTGGGTAGATGACGATTGCACTGCCATTAGGCATGGTCACGGCTTCAGTCTCAGTTCCTATACTGGGAGATGCTCAAACTGGCATTGTAGGACTCTCTACTGGTGAAGAGAACAGGTAGGACACCCCCTCCAGAGGAGGGTCTACACTCTTGGAGCAAGGAAGGGGCAAGGTCCTGAGTGGCTTTCATTGTCTTCTACTCTATCTTAAGCTGTTGGGTCAGCAGCCTTCTCTAAGTTGGTGCATTGTCTCTGGGGAACGTTCCTCCACAGGCCAGTGGCCAGAGAGTGGTGGGTGCTCTGCCGTTCCTTTCATTCACTGCCACTCCCATTTACTGAGGCTGCCTAATTTCTGCAGGGCTGGTGGGACGCCAGGCTTTGGAATGGGGTAGTGGGCTCTGACCATGGTGGCGGGTGGGGAGAGGTGATGGAGCATGTCTTAGAAGTCACCCATTCTGTATCTGCAGGGCCAGCTGCTGGCAGCCAGGCACCCGAACATCCATGTCTCCTGGAGTCAGTGAAGATTGCTTGTATCTCAATGTGTTCATCCCTCAGAATGTGGTGAGTTCAGAAGCACTTGCTATGGTTGTTCTGAAGACTCCCACTAGAAATCCACTGTCCTCACAGTGTCCAGCACAGCCCAGTCTCCTCTGTGGCCTGCTGAGCTGAGATTAGGTGATTTGCCTAACGTCATGCAGCCAGTGGGTGATCTACGGACTTGGTCATTTGGTCCTCAGAGCTCATGGCTAGAACCAGTGAGTGGTGACCATGAGTATGTGCTTTTCCCATAGGAAAAGGAAGAAGACTGTGAAAGTGGTTTGCAGTTTAAAGAGCACTTTTTTTTGTCTTTGATTTTATTCGTCTTCACATCAACTCTAGGAGGATAGATAGATGATAGATTGATCAATCCATCAACTGATAGAAAAATGTAGAGAGAGAAATTTACCCTTATCTTAAAAGTGCAGACCTGGAGCTGAGAGAGGCTAAATGAGGTACATAAGGACATTCAGCTGGGCAGAGTGGAGGCTCATTCCTGTCACCGTGTTCCAAAGCCAGTGCTCTTTTCTCCTTAGGGAAGTTCCCAGTAAAAGAGAGTTTAGCTTTCTGCCTTGGGCTGTCCGGGCCCCATCCTGACCTTGGGAGAGGAGAAGTGATACCTCAGCCCAGATGGGCAGTACCTGCCCCGCCAGGTGACAGGCCCTGCGCAGGAGGGGCCAGCATCCTGGACAATTCCTGTGGCTGTCGTTGAGGTGGGAGCTGAGGATTGCCCCTCCTTTCTGTGCCTTGCCCTTGCCTCAGCAGCCACAAGCCAAAAGGCCTTTTCTCTTGCTGGCAAGCTACCCAATAAACATGAGTCCGGGCACTTTTAGGAGGGGTATACTGGGCTCCTTCACTGATCTGTTCCACAAACAAGGACAAATGAGTCCAAGACCACTCAAGCTGGCCTTTCTCTGTCGCATTTAAAAAGACCTCATATTTGAAGAATCCACATCTGAGCTGGAATATCACAGAGGAAGAGACTAGGGGAGTGCTGGGAAGGTGGGTCAGGGGTCAAAATTCCAGGTCAGCCCCTTCCTCTCTGTAAGGCATTTCCATGGGTGACTTCACTGCTCTGCACCTCTGCTTTCAAAGCTGTGGAGTGGGGTGCTTATGGCCACCATAGCTTCTACCTCCTTGGGTGGAAGATCAAATGAGACACTCTAGGGGAGAGCCTTTAGCCCAGCCCTTATAGGGGCAGGTCCTAGGTCAGTGTTTGCTCCCGTGACATGGCCCCTTTGTAAAAACATCTGTGTGTCTGTCTGAGGCCATCATACATGGAGTAGAGACGTCACAAGGAATCAGGATCCTTGATGGATCATGAGTTACCTGGTACCCGCATGTGCCCTGGCCTGAAGTAGGCCCTCAGATTCCCCAGCTTGGACACATGATTCTAATAGAATAGGGTCAGCCTACTTCCAGACCTCAGCTCTGCTACCTCCTAGCTGTGTGATCTCAGGCAAGCCAATGAAAATGTCTTAAGCCTCTGCCTCTTCATCTGTAAAATAGGGACAATAAGAATCTGGCAACTTCACAGAACTGTTTGAGGAACTATTGCAAACACTGGACACAGTGCCTGGCTCTTAGTAAGTGCATAATGAACTCTAGCTCTGTGTTACCAGAATGAGTCCAGCAAGGGAATCATCCAAGGGAAAGGGGATGCCAAGGGCCCAGAATGCTTTTCTGGAATAAACCATGTGCCAGAACTGGGAGCTAGAAGTCTGTGTGGTACCATGAGACGGGCTTCAGGTCTGCAGGGAGATGCCATCCCTGACACCTGCTCACTCTGTAATGTGAGAAGTGCACTCACCTTGTCTGACCCTCAGTTTCCTTCTCTATGGATGGGGTTTAATAGTTTGCTCAGGCTGCCATAACAAAGCACTGCAAGCTGTATGGCTTAAACAACAGAGAGATTTTTCTCACTAGAGACAGAAGCCCAAGATCAAGGTATCACAGGATTGGCTCCTTCAGAGGCTCCTTTCCTTGGCTTGTAGATGTTTCTCTTCTCTTCCTTGTGTCTTTATGTGGCCTTCCCTCTGTGCTTGTGTCCTGACCTCCTCTTCTTATAAGGACACCAGTTCTATGGGCTTAGGTCTCACAAGTATGACTTCATTTTACCTTAATTACCTCATTAGGTACTGTCTCCAAAATATGGTCCACTGCTGAGGTCTTGGGGGCTAGGACTTCAATGTACACATTTGGAGAGACACAGCCCTATCCACTGCATGGGGCTAAGTATGCCACAGAGTTGGCCAGAGGAGTCCTGTGCTGACCCAGAATCGGGCTCCAAGCTTGGGAAAGGTGCCCTCCCCACGCTCTAGTCTCATGTTTCTCCAATTCCCACAGGCTCCAAACACATCCGTGCTGGTGTTCTTCCACAACACCATGGAGGGGAAGGGGAGTGAAGGATGGCCAGCTATCGATGGCTCCTTCCTGGCTGCTGTTGGCAACCTCATCGTGGTCACTGCCAGCTACCGAGTGGGTGTCTTCGGCTTCCTGAGTTCTGGTGAGTTGCTGCCTCTGGTGGGAGCTGCTGACCCCCTGAGTCAAGGCTCAGCCCCTTTTTCCCCAAGCCCCATCCCCTCACTGCCCCTGCTCCTCCTCCAGCCAAGCTAGCCACACAGTGGAAATTTTAGCACATTCAGGAGACACTCTGGGGATACTGACACCTTTAGATAAGGATGATAGTTTCCACTTATGGAGAACTTACTACATGTCTGAGCTGCTCCAAGTCTACCGCAGTTCTTACCTTGTGATGTATATATATGTGTGAGCATGTAGTTTAAAGAGAAAATTGAGGTCCACTTAAGATTATACAGTCAGGAACAACAGAGCCAGGAATTGACTTGCCCTGGACAGCCCTAGGGGATGAATTATAGCTCTTCTGCCCATAGAAAAACCATCTGGTTTGGAATCAGAGCTGTATAAATAAGGAGATTCCCACCTCCCTTTAATACTGGCCTCACTTGTAAGCAGTGGCCTGTCCCCTATCACAGACCTGTTGATCACCCCATCTATGTCCTCCATCCTCCCCACTGACTGCCAGGGCAGAACTGAGCCCTGGACCAACCCAAACATCTTCCAGCCACATCTTTTCCTCTAGCTATTACCTGCCACAGGGAGTATGTCAGCTGCAGTGACCAAGGCAGAGTTACTGCCTTGGAATCTGAAGAGCCCAGGGCCACCTCTGCCACTCTTCGGCTGTGGGCCCTCGGACAAAACCATTCCTTTCACCCAGTCTCAGTCTTGTCCTCTATAAAATGGGGATAATTTTACCTGACTTCCAAAGTTCCAATGAGGCTCAAACAAGGTACAGGTAAAAGGGTTTCAGAGACTTGAGTTTTACACATCTTTGAAGATAGTGATTGCTTTGTCTCTGTTTTCCAAGGGTCTCCTTTAAGATCTGAGATGTTCTTTGTGCTGAGTACGGGTGGGTGAATGGAAGATAGACTGGTCAGATGATCAGCTGGACTAGAATGTGTGTGAATGTGTGGGTTAGGCATCCAGCTGAGCAGAAACCTGGATGACTACATGGTGTGAGGCCTTGGATGCTGCTAAGAAGATTCTAGATGTATGAAATGGGCAACAAGTTAAGGCAAAATACAAGCAGATGTCAATGCAGGAGACGAGGGTGAGAAACAAATTTCAGATGCTTTTGATGGGGAGCAGGGTCATCTGGGAATCCAAGGACAGATATAGCTTCCCCTTTCCTGGCTCTGAGAGACCCTGGCTATCTCATTTAGCCTTTCCAATCCCAGTTTTCTGGCTGGTAAAATGAGGAAAATTAGCCCCACCCTCCTTCACATATATGTGGTGGTAAGAACCGAATTTGGTGACTGGGGTTTTGTGGAAGCCCTTTGGAGAGTGTTTAGACAATTATTCACATGTGAGCTTATTTTCCTCTTTAAGGAGAGAAATCTCTTTGCCTGGGTTTGCTTTCCTCTGTGTGAACACAAGACTGACCATGATTTGTGCCATCAGTAGCCCCTTCCTCTAGAGGTGGTGATATCAGGACTCGCCCCAAGGAGCCTGGGCCTGGGAAGCTTTTCCCAGACATGGCTGCCTTGTTGGCTTAGAGCATTTCTAGACAGAAGAGAGTGAGTTTCTGTATGCCATCTGTCTCTCAGTGGGTAGGGGATTATGATTTCACAGAGTATAATCTTGTTGAGAATTCATGTGCTTCTGGAGAGGCAAATTCATTTTGGCTGTCGGCAGGGACAGCCTGTGGGGAGGCAACGGAAGCTTCCAGAACACCAACCCTGCTCATTCCTGACATGCACTAAGCCTGCCTGTTCATTTTGCTCAAGGGAAACACCATCAGCAAGAGAGAAGGAAAGTTACACTTACAAAGTGTGTCATCTTCACCAGATATTTCTCCTGGATTACCTCATCTGTTTCTCACAGGCGATCTCTGAGGCCAGCAGGGAGTGGCCATTTCATAGATTGGTCAGCGAAGCTCAGTGAGGCTAAGGAACGTTATCACCACAATCACAAGTGGCTTCCTGGGCCTTAAACTCTGTTGGTGGAACAACAAGAAATATTGTTTTGCAGCCGGCTCCCTCAGATGGCTGGACATGTCCTTTCAATTTCCCGTTTTTCAGTTATGCTGAGCAGGGTCCATCTCTTGCATTCATTTAGCCACAGGCCAGTTTATTTCTTTTTTTAAAAAAATGTTACTTTAAGTTCCACTATACATGTGCAGAACATGCAGGTTTGTTACATAGGTATACATGTGCCATGGTGGTTTGCTGCACCCATCAACCTGTCATCTAGGTTTCAACCCACATGCACTAGGTATTTGTCCTAATTCTCTTCCTCCCCTTGCCTCCCATTCCCTGACAGGCCCCAGTGTGTGATGCTCCCTGCCATGTCCATGTGTTCTCACTGTCCAACTCTTACTTCTCAATGAGAACATGCAGTGTTTGGTTTTCTGTTACTGTGTAGATTGCTGAGAATGATGGCTTCCAGCTTCATTTGTGTCTCTGCAAAGGACATGATCTCATTCTTTTTTATGGCCGCATAGTATTCCATGGTATATATGTGCCACATTTTCTTTATCCAGTCTATCTTTGATGGGCATTTGGTTTGGTTCCAAGTCTTTACTATTGTAAATAGTGCTCCAATAAACATATATCTAGAACCAGAAATACCATTTGACCCAGCAATTCCATTACTGGGTATATACCCAAAGGATTATAAATCAGTCTACTATGAAAACACGGGCCGTTTTCTTTGCCTTCCTTCTTAGCCCGTCTCGTGTGTCCTACATTCCCAAGCTTCCCAGTCTCTCACATTGCTCTTCCCTGCTCTTGAGCTCTGAGAGGGGAGCAGAGACATTGACATCCTCATCAAACCAATCAGGAAAGTGAGGCACAGAGACAGAGGGAGGGCAGAGCAGCAGCAGCAGAGCCATGATGCAGATTCAGGCTTCCTGCTATGGAGGAGTTGTCTCCTGCCTGCTTCGGGCAAGATCAGAGACAGAACTGAGCCTGGCCATGCAGAGGACAACAGGAAGCAGGTGCTCACCTCTGGAAGCACAAAGGAGTGAGTCTTGATCCCAGTTAATCCCCCAAAAAACCTGCCACACGAGTGCAACCATTCCCTCTTTCATATTTTTTAAATAATAGATTTTATTATTTAGAGCTGTTTTAAGTTTATAGAAAAATTAAGCAGAAAGGACAAGGAGTTCCATACACTTCCTTCTGCCCCTCTTTCTTACCCTACTATTGATTAATAAGATTATTTGGTTGGGCACATGTGTTACATTTGATGAGCCGATGGGTGGTGCACTATGATTTACTGAAGTCCACAGTTTACCTTGCGGTTTGTCCTGTGTGTTGGATGCTCTCTGGGGTTTGCAGGCTGCCTGATCTCCTGGACCCACTGTTACAGGGTCCCACAGGATCATTTCATTGCCCTCCAACTTTCCTGTACTCCACCTCTTCATCTATCCCTTTTTCCACTTTAAGTCATTGAAAATTGCAGTTCAGAACATAAGCCTGGAAAGAGCTGGTTACTTTGCATCCCACCCTCAGCCTGGGATTCTGCAGGGAATGCAAGTTTACATTTGAGCAGGATGGGGTCTGAGGGCTGCTCTGTGGCTCTGCAGGGCCAGGACTCTGAGCAATTCCTTCCTTCTCCATCCCAGCGCAGGCTGCCTGTCTGTCAGTGAAGGATTCTAAGCCTTGCAGGGCAGCTCATGTGAGATGAAGTGTGTGAGGAAAAGTACCCGGGCTCACTCATATTCATTCCCACTTTCTTCTCTAGACAGGGCTGTGTTTTTATCATTTCCTGGCCCAGTATCTGGTCAGTGTCTCTTGATCTTAGCAGAAACAGCCCTGTCACTCACAGAGCCAGGCTGAGCAGCCCCTCGTGAGCGTCATCTCACTTGATAAATGTGTGCGGAATCTGCTGCTGTTTCCCAGAATGAAAATGGTCCCTGAGAGCCCAGACTCCAGAGGTACTTTGTGAAAGAGACCAGAGGAAAATGAAAGCAGCAGCTTGTGCCAGTCCTGAGGCCTACTAGACAAACACGTGCTCTCTGCTGATAAAAGGCAAGCCCAGCCCAGTGTTTAGAGGGAGCCTTGGTTCCTGTTGATGTGAGCAGTTGGAAAGGAAGTAGTTGCTGGGCAAAGGGAGGCCATTTCCCCAAGCCTGGCCCCTGCAGCAGGGCAGACCCCAGAGGGCATCTGGCCCCAAGTCATTCTTCCTCTCTGTCTGGCAAAGCAAAGCAGTGAAGGGAACTGGGGCAGTGGCGTCTGGGATAGAGGACGAGAGGCTGGACAAGGGGCCTGTGGACTCTGCAGGGCATGGGAGCAGAGGAAATGTACTTTGGCCAGGACACCAGACAGAAGGCCTGGCTGCCAACGGCAACCACACACTGCCATGACCTCATCGTCTCTGGGACACTCAGAGGCCTACTGAGCAGGTCTGCTGTCCTCTCTACCCAGAACAGGCACAGAATGCTGCCCCAGCAGGTGCCCCTTCACAGGCAGGCTGGAGACAAGGCATTCTGCTGAGAGCATCAGTGACATCATGTTAGAATCTAAACTTGTTCTATTTTATGAAAAATTAATCTGTAGTGCTTTATGACAAGCACTGTTCAACCTTACAGATATTCACTAATTTACTCAACCTTACGTGGAAGTGCTAATATCATCCCCATTTTACAGATGGGGAAAGTCAAAGCACACAAACCTTATTAGCTTGTCCAGGCCCTCTCAAGGCTGTAAATGGTGGAGCTGGAACTGCAGCCAGCTGGTCTGGCTCCATGGACACTACATGACACTGCCTCTTGTTGATGGTCTCTGGTAAGACCAGGGTGAGCCCAGGATGGTGCTAAGGGGCTTCTGTGAGATGATTGAAGAGATCAAATGAGAAAACGAGCCAATTAGACAATGAGGGAGCAGGTGAGTGCTTGCTGGGTGCTCTGAGCAGAGGAGTAGGAGCCAGGAGGTACAGGGGCAGATCAGGGTGGGCGACAGTGGATGGAGAAGAGTGTTGGTGCTGGTGTGGAGGGCTTTCATTCAGGCCAGTTATCCCTGTGGGCAGCTGAGAGCAGTCCTCTGACATCTTGCCTCTGGGCCCGAGCCTCAAAGACATCAGCAGAGGCACAGAGTGTGTGTGTTGCATGACTGAGTGAGGTGGGACCTGAGGATGAGGACTGCAGCTTAGACACACAGACTGCAGCCGAGGGGGCAGCCCCTGGGCAGTGATGGGGCGCCAGACTGATCAGACAGCTTCGCAGCACATTTAGAAGGTCAGAAAAGCCAGGAAGAAGTTTGGACTTGATGCAGTAGGAATGAAAGAGATGTAAAGGCTTTTTGAACAGAGAAAGTTTCAGAAATAAAGCACTGAAATGTTTTAATGTACATTATAGATTTTTCAACAAGCATTTGTTGAATTGGGTTGAATGTTAGGACAGAATTCTGATTGTGAATTAGGATTTGAGTCCCAACTTGATCTCAGATTCACTTCTTGCATCTAAACAAGCTCGTTCCCTCTAAAGTTTGAGTTCTTCACCAGTAAAGGAAAAGGGTAAACCAGACATGTTGAACCATAATTGCTTGTTAACTGCCTTCTGCATTTCTCTGTGGTCATGTGTCCCTAGGGCTAGGTGGGATCTCTCTTGCTTTCTGCCATACCGAGCACAGTGCCTGATACCGGCTGTAGCCCAGTCATACTTGTTTAATGAGTGGCCCCCTGACCACATGCTCACCTCTGTCCTCTCAGAAGTCTGGACCCCAGAAGTCAACACTGACCCTTATCGTGTAGTGGGAAGCTGATACATGGGAAATGAGAGTCAGGAACATGTCCTCTCCTCCTTGTCCCTGGAATACAGGCTGTGGCCATCACTTTCCAGATTTGTAGGACTTGGTCTGACTAAGTTGATGTCATGCTTTCCTGGGCTACCTCAGACTTTGGAGGGAGCAAACACATTCATCCTAACAAATGGGACATACAAGCAATCCAGAAAGTTCACAGCGAGGATCGTGTTCTACCAATGGCTTCACCAGTCCCAGAACACAAAATGCCTTTGAAGAACTTCTGAACGTCTCTACAGCTGGAAGAATAATTTGTACCGTTATGCACTCTGAGCTAAGTGGAGTGCTCAGGCAGGCTGGAGACAAGGAAACTCTGCTAAGAGCATCAGTGACATAATGTTAGAGCCTAAACCTGTTCTATGTCATGAAAAAATAACCTTCTATAGTGCTTTGTGACAAGCACTGTTCTGCTCCTCTTACAAATATTCACTAATTTACTCAACAACCTTATGAGGAAGTGCTATTATCACCTATTATCACCCCCATTTTACCAATGGGGAAAATCAAAGCATACAGATAACTTATTCAGGGCTCCTAAAGGCTGTAAATGGAGCTGGGACTGCAGCCAGCTGGTCTGGCTCCATGGTGAGACCATCATGTTCCCTTAAACTTTGTGACTTAATACTAGACTGGGGAATCAGGATGCAAGATTTTTCTGTTTTTTCTTTTCTTCTTTCCTACTTGGGAATATGGGATCTTATCCGTAGTTTCTTGCTGGATGCTGAATCCTGTAAATCATAACTATCATGTCTCATGGAGAAATGAGGGATCTGGAGCCCGGGGAGTGGGCTGGGCTGCTGACACACAAAGGACCGTCGCCAACATGTAGGTGCTAATGAAAGCCATGGAATCTGATGAGGTTCCTTAGTGCAAAGTCAGAAGAGAAGAGTGGGAAGCTCAGATGAAATGAGACCTGGTGTTTCAAGGTCTGATAAAGAGGACAAGTTAGTGGAGTAGTTTGACCAGAAGGATCTACTGAATTCACAGCACAACTGGAAGTCTATGTAGTGTCTCAAAAAGCTAAAGAGAAGAGCATATTTGTGCTATACTTGTGCCTAAATCATTTTATTTAAAAAAATAGTGCTGAGTTTTTAACAAATGTTAATTTGGATTCTATAAAAAAAAGAGATCGATTCAGTTGCATGCTAATAAAGGCTTCAGATGATGAGACGAGGGGAAGGGTGTAATCCAGAACCCCAGCATGTCCCGGTTACTGTCAGGGACAGCCACCTGCAGGGGTCAAAGATGTGGGGCAGAGAGTTCACCTCCTTCCCATTGTCAGGCCAAGCTAGTGATGGAACTGAAGATGGACTGCCTGTAATCTGAGCAACTCCCCTCAGCTAGTGACAGGGAAGCAGTGGCTCAGAGAGTTATAAAGACATGATGCAGATCTCCTAGCTGGCAAAAGAGAGGTACAAGGACATGATCAAGGTCTCCTTACTGGCTAGCATTCAGGCCTGCGTGTGTCTTCTTTCAAAGCCCATGCTCCTCCATGTTCCTCACTGTGTTTGGAACCCATACTTCTGACCTGTGACCTGTGAGGACAAGAGCCCATAACTCCTGGAGGGGCCATTGCCTGCCATAGACAGCACCATGTTTGTCAAATCCAAGGTTGCAAAGTCACAAAGGGTAAAAGGCTTTCCTCTTTTCTGAAGGGTCTGGAGAAGTGAGTGGCAACTGGGGACTTCTGGACCAGGTGGCAGCTCTGACCTGGGTGCAGACCCACATCCGAGCATTTGGCGGGGACCCTCGGCGCGTGTCCCTGGCAGCAGACCGTGGCGGGGCTGATGTGGCCAGCATCCACCTTCTCACGGCTAGGGCCACCAACTCGCGACTCTTCCGGAGAGCTGTGCTGATGGTGAGTGTTGTGTGTTCTACCTTCAGTCTTACTGTAGATGTGGCTGGGGAGGTGGTTCTCCTGTGCTTTGAAAGGCTAGTTGGCTTTGATCGCTTGACTTTCCCTTGTCCTTTGTCCTGAGTGTGGATTCTGCTTGGAGTTTTCCATGTTTGTGTGATTCCAAGATGCTGAAGAGCTCCCCTGACTTTTTTTCCCTCATGTCTAAAGTGCTAAAAATTTTAGATGGCGAAGCGTTTCTGTTTCCTGAGAGTGGTTCATTAGGGTTTCCTTTTCATGGAACAGTTTTTCCACATCCCCCTCTTTGCCTGCCCTACTTTTCCTTTAGAAAAGCCTTCCTGACTTTTCAGCCTAGAACTGAGCCCTCTTTATGTGGCTTGTGCTGCCTGTAGGTCCCCTGTGCAGCATTTACCAGGATTTCCAAAGTAAGTAATTGCTCTGAGTGGCGAAGCTGCTGCCTCATAAGACTGCGGGCTCCAGCAGAGCAGGGGCTGGGTGTGCCTTGCTCTCCATGATACCCTGAGCACCCCACACAGCACATCTGAGAGTCCGTGGTTGCACCATTAATTATTGTGGGGCAGCAGTGAGCAGATGACTGGGGGAGAGTTCAGCTGTTGTTCTCAGGGCCCAGGGACCCACAGGATACACCAGCTCCCTCCCTTCCACACCTTTCTGTAAGTCTTATCCTTTGATCCCAATTTTCTTCAATCCATCCCTCTGATATTGATCCATCTCAGTGGCAGTAGAATTGGGCACAAACATCTTTCAATTCCTGGTATTGAGAACAAACCATCCTGCATTGAGTTGATCCTGGAGTGATTTGTCCAGGGCCCTTTCAGAAACAAGACACTCATTAGGACCCAGAAGATGCCAAAAATACCTTCCAATGGGCTCAGAAAGCAGATTTTTCTTTTTGAGGGTTTAGGTGTTTGGGGAATTTCAAATACTAATCTGTTTTAACAAATGGCAGTGTATTTAAAAATAAACCTTCCATCTGTTTTAGTCATTTGGAAGCAGCTTTTACAACTGCTCCCAGTAGTCCTTGGGATGCATGTGAAATTATTTGGAATTGAGAGAACTAAAATACTTCAATATATTAGCGGTTCTTAAATGTGTTTTTTATCAACAGATGTTTGGGGAAATGAATGTGAGTTGGCAATTTATTCTGGGATAAAATCTTAAATCTCTTTGCAAATCTTGAGGCCAGAACTGTTGAAATATTGGTCAAGGGAAATCCTGTGATGATAATGAATAACCTGTATTTATTTAGCACTTTTGAGACCACAAAGCACTTTCAGTGTCTTATCTCACAGATTCCTCATGTTGATTGGCAAGGGGACTTTATTTTATTTTGCAATCTAGAGATGAGAAATCTGAAACTCAGAAGATTTAGTGACCTACCAAAGAACACACAGCAAGGAAGAAGCTGCATTAAGGACTAGAAGCTAAAGCTAAGTCCTGTGTTTCCCCACTGTATGAGGCTGCCTCTCCGGGAATTTGGGACTCTCTTGGGATCTCAGGGTGTAAGATAAAGAGCCATCAGATAGGCCTGCATTAAGATCTTGGTCTTGGAGAAGACACTTCACCTTGTATTCTTCACCTATCAAATCAAATCCATGTGATTAATTCTATTTCCCAAGGTCTCGAGATGTTGCCAGGACTTAATGGTTTGTAAAGTGTCCTGCATAACATAGGAACTCAAGAAATCCAAGCTCCTTCTTTCCTCTTCCTTTGCCAAAGGAAGGCAACTCCAGACAGAAGTGCATCCTAGGGCATTTCACCTGTCCCGGGGCTGGGTTGGGGGATGAAGGTGCTTGTTGCAAACATGCCTTCTGTAGCTCTGTCCCTGGACAGTTTTAAGACAGGGGAGGTCTTGTCCTCTGGGGTATGATTCATGGACCCAGAAAACATTTCCCTTGCTGTTCTGTAACATCGCCCCAAGTCTGCATTCCTCGGGGTGAACTCCTGGCCTCAGGCATTGGCCTCAAGCTAAATTGTTCTGTCTTGTTTCTTACTCCATTCCTGCGTGAATCCTACACTTGAGGATCCCTGGCTATCACCCTTCTGAGGAAATGCCTTGCCTTCCTCCAGACCTTCTTAACTCTGTTCTGTATTCAGCATATCCAGTATCTACCTGGAAAGTTCCTGCTATCCTTCAGGGATCAGCTGGAATGAGGCCTCCAAGCCTTTCCTCATCTCTTGAAACAGAAGGAAAGAATCTTACCTTAGTGAAAAGACTTATATTTAGCAATTCTTAGAAACTGTGCCTTATTTTACATGCTTATTATTCTAACATCTCTCATTCCAATTCTATCATGACTAGGTGCTTGAAAACGTACATGAGTGTAATCCTCTTAGTGTTTCCTTAACACTTAGCACAGCATTTGGTTCAGAGATGTGCTGAGTTCCACTAAAGTGATGAGAGAGATGGTAGTTTGGGCTCAGAGCACTGTTCTCTATTGTTTTTGCAGTATATCTCATATTGTGAGCATGCAATGCCTGTCTATTCAGAATTCACCAAGCTATTCATGAGTTTAGATGCTTCCATATATATTTTAGAATAAGTTTATTGAGGTTTTATTCTAATATTTTTTCTGGGAGTTTGAGTGACATAGACTTGATCCTTAATTTCAGAAAAAAATCTACACTGTAATGATGTTAAGCTTTGCCTTAATGAATCAGGTAAACGCTGTAACCATGGACACAGTAGTTTTGCCTTGTTAGGTCTTTTCATACAGTTCTGAACATTTCTAAATAAAAGTTTTGTGAAACCATTGTGAGTCAAGTTCCTACATGTGTCGTCATTTGGCTGGCCCTGTCACCACTTTCTTCTTTTCTATTGTATTTTCCAGTTTGAAAATACTTGTGTTAGGAAATAAGTTGTTTCAGCAATTTGCTAAGCTGTTTTGTCACATCTAATACTTTGCCTGTGGGTTTCTTTGGGTTTTCTATGAATTTTCCTCATTCTGCAAATAATGATGGGTTTATTTCTATACCTGTTGGAACAAAATGCTCAGTTGATATAAGGAGACCCAGTACTAAAGCAGCTTAGTGGATAAAGTTCCTTCTGTCTGTCTGTCTCTCTGTCTCTCTCTCTCTCTCTCTCTCTCTCTCCTATACCATCAGCCAAGATGGGCAGTCCAGGTGTCTCTGGATCACTCAGGGCTCTGGTTTCTTCAAGATATTTCTCTGCCATTTCTTAAGGGCTTCCTCATCTGCTGGGTTAGAGTTTGGGCTGCCAGGGGTTCCAGATGGTAGAAAGAGGATGGAGAGGAAGGAGGACCAAACCTGCCGCCTGAGGTCTTTGCTGGCAAGGGACACACTCTGTCTTCAGGTATAGTTACAAGCAGATGTGCATTTGATTTGTGTTTGTTGTCCCTCATCTTTCTTGATCATTCTTGTTCATATTTTTATCACGTTAGTCTATTTCAACAATGTTTTGCTTTTTAAAATCTTCTCTATGGCTGTGTTTTAAGAAGTCTGTTTCATTGATGTCTTGTTATTATCTTCTGCTTTCTTCCCGTTTCCTTGGCTATCTGTTGTTCTTTCAGCTTCTTAAGTTGAAAATTAATCTCATTACTTTCATTCTTTGTTTCTCGATTAATTTATTTCAAACAATAATTCGCCCTCTCACTATTTTATCAGCTATACCCAATAAATTTTGAAAAGTAGCAATATGTCATTTATTTCTAATATTTTATTTATTGCATTATTTTCTTCTTAACCTAAGGATTTTTTTTTTTACTTTAGATCCCTGGCAGTTTTAAATTTTTATTTCTTGTTTTGAACTTTGATTCCCAATTTTATTGCTTTATTATCATACAGCATGAATTGGAGGATGCCGACTCTGAAATTTACCAGGACTTTCTCTGTGATCTAATATATTATCCATTTGTTGGCAAATAAGTTATATAGTGTTATCAAAATCTATCTACCTATTTATTTGTTTACTTATTGTTGCTTACTATATCAGTTCCTGGGATTGTGTATTAAAATCTCCAAGTAAAATTATTGATTTATCTATTTTTCCCTGTTGCAGTTGTGTAATCTATTTTGATACTATATCATCCCATTAACATAAGTGCAATCATCATTTCTTCTTAATATATTGTTGCTTCTGTACATCTCTCTTTGCCTTTATGTAATTTATTTTTACCTTAAATCCCATTTTTTCCTCAAAATGCACCACACATTATCTTTTGTTCATTTTCGCATTAAATTTTTTTTGCCTCTTTAATTTCAAACTTTGTGTGTCAGTAGGCAATACAATGATGGAATTTAAAAAATGTGTCCTCCACACAGCATGATCTTTTAAATATATCAGTGAAATGATCTTACCCCTTACTTGGATCCTTTCAGTGGCTCCTCATGTCTCCTAGAATGGGCCCTATGCCACTTTATATCCTCCAGGGCCCTGCAGCACCTTCCTGATGCCTCCTAAGACCCTTCTCTCCTTCCCTAGCTGCCTCGGCCTGGCCACCCTGGCTTCTTTTAGCTTCATCAGTGTGCAGTCTTGCTTCTTCTGCCTGCAGGAATTGCCCCATTATTCCTGCTGACTCCATAGACTTCCTAGATCTTTACATGACTATTTGCTGCTCACCTTTCAGGCCTCAGCCCAAACATTGCCTCTGCTAGGAGGCCTTTCCTAAGCCTGGACCTGAAGGCCAGCCTGCCCTCACCCTCATCACCACCATCACCAAGCATCTTGTCTATTTATGATGTCGAGCTCCATGATACCAGAGACCTCATCTGGTTTTCGTTGCTACAGCCCCAGTACCTGAGCAGTGTCGATTTGGTAGGTGTCCAAAAATCTGCAGAAAGAAATTCTTGGGAGAATGAATAGCACAGTGATCACAAGTAATGCGTGGAGAATCTAGGCGAGATGTTTTTTATAACAATTGTTCAGGATTTGCTGTCCCCTTCAATCCCTTAGGCTTACCTTCAGGTCTCATAAAACACCTTCCAAAGTCAAGCAATCTGGTTTTTCTTAAGGCTGCACCTCAAGAGGATGCTGCACTGCTAACTGGCACCAGGTTTCTCTGGGTGATCTTTGCCTCTAGTTGTACGTTTATTTGAAAATTTGAAACACACAGAGCTTCTGAATGAACCACCCATCCCCCTCAACCCAGAAACTGTCCCCACATGCCAAGGGTTAAATATTTATTAGGTTTATTTTAATCAGGAATAAATACATGATTTAGCGAAGTGTAATGCTCCCCACTTAGAAATCCCTCTGGGTGCTCCCCAACATTCCAATCACATTTGTCACAATGGAAAACAATACATAAGATGCTATGCAGACATCTGGAGTTCAGGGGTCACCTTGCCTTGTGTGGGAAGTCAGTGTCCACAGTGTTACATTCATTTCTCATACATTGGCTGGTTCTTTTGAAATAGCCTTTTGGAATTGTTGGGGAAACCACAGATGCCTCCTTGTATAAACACACTGGAATCTATGATACAGAAGATCGTGTAACTGCACATATACATACCACTAGCACAATGAGCTCAGATCGATGGAATGCTTATGTGAGCAGACAGACTCTGAAGGCAGGGAAAGATACTGAAAGTATGTGCCCCTCCTTCCCCAGGATCCCTTTGAAACAGGAAAACATGAGTCATAGACTCATCTGCAGCCCACTCTCCTCCTAGCAGGATTTGGATGGGAGCTCTGAAGATCCCTGCTTCTCCCTCTCTGGCTATACACTGTGTTTTCTCCCTTGTCTCTTAAAATTATGCGTGACATCATTAATCCACTTGGATTCCCCATCTTTCCTGGAGCTCAGCATTTTTTGTCATACGGATGCCAGACCCTTCTTAGAATAAAGTACTGGATGAATTCATTCTTTAGAATGTATCCATTTCATTTAAAAAATTCAGCTATTCCAGCCAGCCCTTTCACTCTGAAGAACAGCTAGAAAGTGAGCTTCTGAATGTCCATCACCTGCCTCCAATTCCACCCTAACCCATGAGTGATTTCTATTTTTACATATTATTTTTAACCACTTTTTAACCTGTCTACAGTGTGAACACCTCTATTGGGGGTTGGGACTTAGGCATTTTTTTTTCTGGCCTACATGACACATTACATAGGACCTAATGCAATGCCTCTTCAGGCAATAAATGAATAGTTGATGCATTAATGTAGGCAAGAATCCCAGCATTCCAGAGAAGCTCTCTCTGCACTGCAAAGCCATGGCTGCAGACACCAGGACAGCTGGCGCAGTTCTAGGCTTGCCCCCTCAATTTCCCTGCCAGCAGCCTTCCTCTCTCTCATTCTTCTGGCCCTCTGCAGAATCAGCGGGGCTATCTGCCTTCCACCCACATGGCTTTGGTACAGGAGCAGGCCCAAGGTATCTCCCAATTGAAGGCTCAGAAGTTTTTCGGGCTAATGTTTAGTGTCACAGAGTTCCTATAAAAAGAGAGGAAAGCATACGAGAGATCCCTATGGATTGGTTAAAGTAGTTCCATTCACGGGGATGCATCTGCAAACCCAGACCTTCTGCCAGTCCATAGCTATTGTTTCCTCTCCCTCTCAGCCTTGGCCATACGGAAGTTCCCTCCAACGACCTTGGAGCATAGCTATCTGGACAGGTCCAGTTCCTTGGAGAATGGTCCTGGTGCACTTTCTTGTGAGGGTGGCTTTGTCCTGTGTCTTACATACACAATGTGTGCACAGATACATGCTGAGCTCTTCCAAGCACTGCCTGACATGTCATGACCCAATCTTTCATGAAGCCACTGCCCTGATCGGACACCAGGCCAGAGTTCCTGTGGTCACGATGTGAATAGAGAAGATGCAGCTTTGAGTCTCCATGTGGCTTCTCTTGGCTCCTAAAATATATGAGTTTCCCGGGGATCAGGGAATCTTGCTTTTTGCAAGATTCCAAGCAATCGTTGGAACATCTGTTCCTTTAGGGCATGAACCATTGTGTCTGTTCTTGGCTAGTCTTCAAAGTAAGGTGGTGATGAGAAGAATGAGCTCTTTCTCTTGCTGCCACTGTACATCAGGGAGACACTTTTCTTCTTTCGATCGAAGGAGGTGTTGTCCTCACTGGTCAGGGACAGGTAAGAGGCGATGCTCTCTCGAAGGCCGTAGCTGAAAAGGGACTCGTCTACCCCAAGTGGGTTTTCTGTTCCCTCATGGTCCTCCTGCAGCCTGTGGGTCAGAAGAAAGGGGGCAGAGAATGGGAAAAAAGAGAGGGTCATAGAGAGAGGAGGGGATGAGGGCAAGAGAATGAGAACAGGAGGAAAAGAAAAATGAAATTCCTGGTGACTATTTCTCTTATTTATCCTTCTTTTTTTTTTTTTTTTGAGATGGAGTCTCATTCTATTGCCCAGTCTGGAGGGCAGTGGCGCATTCTCTGCTCACTGCAACCTCTGCCTCCCAGGCTCAAGCAATTCTCCCTCCGTAGCCTCCTGACTAGCTGGGATCACAGATGTCTACCACCACGCCTGGCTAATATTTTGTAGTTTTAGTAGAGACAGGGTTTCACCATGTTGGCCAGGCTGGTCTCAAACTCCTGAACTTAGGTGATCTACCTGCCTCGGCCTCCCCAAGTGCTGAGATTACAGGCATGAGCCAGCCCTAACCTACTATTCTAATTATTACTCTAACCAATTATTCTACTCTAACTGCAATTATTCTAACCGATTATTTTAATGCTGGTTCTTATATTTGTGGGCCACATGATCTTGGATAAATAACCTCTCTGAACTGCTGTTTTCTTGGAAGGCTGACACTTCCAACTGTCAATTCTAGTAAAATTACTTTTTATTATTTATAAGAAAGAGCTGTTTTCTTTATCTCTTATATAATTCTGATCTCTGATTTCTTTGATTTGCCGGTGGGATCTCTGGATTGATACTGAATTACTAAAATAATCCACCAATCCCAAACTGTAAATAGCCTTTAAAATTCACACGCTGACAATGGAATAAACAGAACAAATTGATGAAAGGTTTTTCTCCTAGAGAAAACAAAGAAGTCACTGTAGGATTCTACTGATGTTTTTAAGCTTTGTGAGTGGGTTTTAAATAATATTAAATTTACACAGGATGTGATACTTTCTAGGATTCTAACAACTAGAAAGAGAAAGGTGCAGAAACAGGGGAAGCTGCCACACACCTTGTGATGCTTGAGGCTGCACCAGCACCCAAGGATTCCCTTGGTTTACATCTGGGTGGGGTGCTCACCTCCAGGTCTCAGCAGGGCTGGCTGACCCTGGCCATGGTTTTTATGTACTAGGCACACACACTGTTTTGTGCTCACACATTCACGGACCACTTGCATATGTACACACACACACGCACGCACACACACCATACTCACCTGGACACTCTCCTCCAGTCCACGGTCTTCTGACGCAAAGTGACAGGTGAGCTGGAGGTCCTCACTGCCGGGGCAGCTGTGCTTTGTGTCAGACAGGGCGTGGTGAGCACACAGCACAGGCCATCAGCCACTTCTGAGGAGGGAAGCAGACAGCCAGTCAGGGACCCTGTGGACGCCTCAGCCAGTGTGGGGTGCAGGCCTGACACACCCTCCAGTGCAGCTCCCTGGCTATTGCTGTGGGGAAACTGGGGCTGAGACTTCAAAGGGGCATGGTAGGTAGTAGCAAGGCTGAAAGTCACATGCTCAGTTGTTTGAGAAATGTGAGTGTGCCCTGGTGTACTCTGCATTTAGGCAGGTGCGGGCAGAGAGAGAGGTTTAGGATCCAGTATCAAGCAAACTTGGGTTTGAATTTTAGCTTTGCCCCCATGGTAAATGACGAGGAACTTCATTGAGCTTCATTTTCCTCAACTGCAGAATCAAAGAAACGAGGCAACAAGTGAGTGCCTGCAGAGGCCACAGCCTTCCAGGGTTTCCAACGAAGGCCCAAATTATCAACTTCACAGGGTGTGAGAATGGGGCCACATACAACATTCATCCCCCCAGTTGTGCATTCAGTATGCACAGGTGGACTAAATACACCTCTAGGAAGAAAGATAAAAGAAGCAATGAAAGAAGGAAGGAAAGGAGACAGGGAGCTGAGGAGGAATGAAAGAGGACAAGAAGGAAAAGCAAAGATGAGAGGGAGAAGGAGGAAGAGGAGGAGGCAAAAATAGCATGAAGAGTAGAAGACACAGGAAGGGAGGGAAGAGAAAAACGAAGAGGGCAAGGAGAGAATGCAGACAAAGAAAGAATGCAGACCATCTCTCTTTCATTCTAGAGACTCACGCACAGAAAGAATGAAAATTAAATAAACCTGTTTCTTTTTCGCTTGTATGAAAATCTCTGTATGAAATGCCTGACTCTCGGGCACATCACGACATAGCTTCTATCTCTTGGAAGGCTTCTTCCTAGCCCATGTTATCATCAGAAAGACTTGATTCTGCTGTACTCAGGCATCTTAGAGATTCAAGAAATTCTGTGCAGTCTTATTCAGGCTAAAGACCCTGACCCCAGTGCTTCTCCTGTGCCCTGTGGGAGATGACATGGCCAAGGGGATGAGGAGCCACTGGTCTCCGACTGGACTGAACCACCCCTGGCTGCAGAGCCAATCCACCACCAGGGTTTAGAAAGCACATCACACCTCTGACAGGTCCCACCTCCCATCTGATTTATGGAGTGCTCTCTGGGGCATCCTTGCCAATGACTGAAAAAGGAATTTGTAGCAGAAGAAGCACACTCATCCTGTCACAGGAGGTCAGCCAGGAAGACTTTGTTTCGTGGTTTTCAGTCTGACGTCAACTATGAACTCAAATGTCCACCCACACAGGTGCCCTTGGAGAAATGGGAGGTGAGACCATGAATTTCGAGGGAGATTTAATGGGACGGGAATCTAAACTAATGACCTGTCATGTGTTGGAAATTGAAACGACCTCCCAGGTTATGAGGCGAGGAAGATGAAGTCAGATGCAAAGGCTGGAGAGATCAGCTGCAATGTGCAGCTCAGGCAGGGGACACTTCCTGAGTTTCCTTCCTCAGACAGGTTAATATGCAGGGTGAAAAATAAAATTTGACAAAAAGCAAAAGAACCACCACTTATAAGCACATCACATGCCCCCAGCACTAAGCTAGCCTCATCCCCTGGATCACACTGAGCCCTTGATCAACTCAATGTTTTTAGACCCATTTTGGGGAGTAGAAAGCTGAGGATCTTGAGGTGAAGTAACTTGCTCAGGGCCATAGAAATGTGACCAAACTAAATCTTATTGACTCATTGTAAAAGCAACTCATTGCCTCTTAAACAAAGAAGAAAGACACCATCCAGCTGTCTCTAGGATTCAGACACCCTGGTCTCATTCACCCCTGTCTACATGGCTCATCAGAATTCACACTCCTCTGGACCTTTAGGGTCCAACAACTCTATATTCAAGGGTTCCTAGACCCTCAAGGTCCCCAGCCCTTGATTTTCCAAGCCATATTTTAGAGCTCATTTATGCCCATGCACTCTGTTCTCTCAGTAACCAGCATGCATGGTGTACTTTAGGTGCCGCATTTTTCATGTGCATTTTTTCTTGGACTAGCAGCAATTCTGTGAAGATTATTGCATTTTAATCCCCAAGTTATAAATAAAAATCCCTGAGCCTGCAAGGTGTTAAGTAATTTGCCTAAAAGCATCGTGATAAAAATTATAGGCAACCTGTTGTTAGATGTCTATTTAAACCCTGGTGAACAGTTCCTCTCGTTCTGTCTTTAGAATGAGTCCAGTGGAGATCAAAGTGGCTGTGTGGTTTCTGCTTGGGGATTCTGAATGGGGCATAAGGAGGATTTCAGGTTTTCACACCCTTTTCAGTTATTCACAGAAGCAAACGGATGACCCTAATCCATTGAGTGGTTCGATGACCAGAAACATATTGTGGGAAGGTTCTAGTGCTGCCTGGGGTGAGATATGCCCCATGGTCAAGCAGCGGCAGGTAGATTTGGGTGTTTCTGGCCTGGTAGCCTCATGGCCTCGTGGTCCCTAGAAGCTTTGCTAGGACAGCATCTTTCTCATGTTTGCTTTTGTCTATGCAAAACTTATGGTCTCCACACCCCCTCCGATGGTTGTTATTAAAAGCCAAATACCACAACCAACCTTTACTCAAAACCAATATAAGTTGGCTGTTTCCAGGACTCCCTTCCTCTTTCGTTTTTACCTGGCTACTAAGTTTTCAGATATCACAGAAGTAATATCTGTTATTATTTATTTTGCATCTGCTGTGTGCCAGGCTATGCTGAACACGCTATGTAAACAGTTGTGTTTAGTAATTATTCAATCACCTGCTAGGAGCCCATATTCACCCACCTCCCATAAATGGGGACCCCAGGTTCTGAGGGGTGGCTGACCTTGCCCAAAGCCTCACATGGTACAGATCTGAGCTTGGACCAGCCTCTCCTGAACAGCCATTTTTGCTCCATGCCCTGCTGCTTCTGCTGGGCCAGCTGTGATAACCAAAGCCCTGTAGACTTGTTTCTCCCTGAAATAGCCTTCATTTGTTCAGTTCAAGACCCCATATACAAGAGGACGCTGGCAAAGTTGCCCCAGTGTGTGAGGTCAAGCATCCTGAACCCAGAAGATGCTATGAAAGCAAAAGCATCCTCTTCCTTCCTCCCTCTAATGTGTAGAGGAAGTGAGGAGGACAGCGATATTCTGCTAGGTGAAGTGGCTGGTATTTAATGGGCGCTCGTGGTTATGGGCCAGGTACCCTCCTCACCTTCCATGCACTAACTCCGTGGATCCTCATGGTGTCCTTGAGAGGGGGGACTATTAGTGTCTGCCTGGCACAGATTAAGAAAGTGAGACACAAACTGCCAGCCCCAGGCTGCCCAGCTAACAGTGAGCAGATTTGGGATAGAAACAGAGCTTCCAGAGCTGGTTTTTGGAAATTTAGCATTTAGTCAACTGTTCACAATAGGGTAAAGTTCCGAATCCTGAGCTGATGTTTGGGCCTTTTACAGTGTAACTCAACTTTCTCTGTCTGGCAGTGTCCTACTCTTCCAGCTGCCAACACCACATAAGATAAAGATGTGTCCTTTATCTTAGTGGATGCTCCCCATCTCATCAGCCTGGGAGAATTCAGACCTCTTCCTGGGTCTGCGAAGGGCACAGAAATGAACTAAATGCAATTCCTAGTATTTAGGAGCCTGCTAAGGAACACAGGTTAGCACACAATCAAACAGACCACATGGAAGCATGATTAGAATGCTGGAAAGGAACCCTGGGCGTGCTCTGAGCACAGTGAAGACAGGCAGCCACTGGTAACTCCTGTAGCTTCATTGCAGAGGCGATTCATGTTGGCCTTGAAGGCCAGTGAGGATCTTGACAAGTAGAAAAGGGAGAATGAGGGGCAGTCTAGAACAAAGCCCCAGAGGCTTAAAGATGTATGCCCCACTTAGGGATGTGCAAGCTGATTGCAGTTGTGAATCTAGGCACACCTTAACTTGTTGAATGTACAGGTAGAGAGAGGGCAAATTTGAGATTAGCTGTATTTTGCTTATTAAGGCAGCACGCACAGGCAAGCTTTCCCTGTCTCAACCAAGCAGAATTGATGACACTTTCCTTTGTACTCCCATTGGTTCCAGTTCAAACTACTAATCTTCCCTTAACCCATGATAGTGCAATTATTTGTAGTCATATCCATCTGGAACATAATGAGCATACAACATATGCTATTAAATGAACCAAGGGATGAACGAACGAGTGCCCTGCAACCAGTCTGAAATTTACGGTCTGAATTAACAAGAGAGCATATCGTGAGGGCAGCATGGGCAGAAAGCAAGAGTAAATCACTGCATTTATTGGTGACCCCTCTGCATTCCAGGTGGATGGTGCAGCAGAGCAATTAGCTAAGAGGGGTCCCACCATCGCAATCAGTCCAGATTGAATGTCTCTTACCAGAATAGTGGTTCACCAGGTCCTCCAGGCACTGGAAGGTGAGCCTCGGAGAAATGTAGTACCAGTTGTTGGGCAGGCGGAAAATGCGGTAATGCTTTACCTGCCTGTGTCTCACCGACAGCGAGTAAAACCCTGCAGGAGGTAGAGGATAAGTCAGCGGGCTCCACCTGTCCCCACCTGAAGGCACCCAGCTAACCAGCTTGCCACCACCGAGGCAGGGAGACCTGCCCACCCTTGGGATACAACAGTGATGCCTCCCTCCACTAGACCCTCCTGTGTTTAGATGTTGCTTCCCATTGCAGGAGTGTGTTATTGTGTCAAAGCAGATGTGTCCATCCTATGGCCCTTACAGGTTTTCAGGAACACACAGGTTTCATCCTCCTTGCTTTTTTTTTTGAGACTGGGTCTCACTCTGTTACCCAAACTGGAGTACAGTGGGGTGATCTTGGCTCACTGCAGCCTCTACCTCCTGGGCTCAAGGGATCCAACCACTTCAGCCCCCTGAGTAGCTGGGACTACAGGCATGTGCCACCATGCCCAGCTAATTTTTGTATTTTTTGTAGAGATGGGGTTTTGCTACATTGCCCAGCTGGTCTCAAACTCCTGGACTCAAGTGATCCACCCACCTCAGCCTCCCAAAGTGCTGGGATTACAGGCATGAGCCACTGCACCCAGCCTTGTCTTCTATCTTTTTGAGGCAAACACATTTGGGCTGTTTCCACATCCTGAGGCCAAATTGAATGATTGCACTTTGGTTGCAACCTGTAGCTCCAGGACCCATGATCGTTTTTGGTTCCTTCCTGGATACATTCTAAGATGTCATCCCTACTGTTTTCCTCTTTGAGCCTCTGTCCCATCAATGCTGCCACAGCACACATTTGAGGGGGTCCTTGCAGTTATTCTCTCTCTTTCTTTGTCTATACTATCTCTGACTTGAGCTTAGTTTTTTCAGAAATTTGAAGGAGTTGAGTCATCTTTCTGGGTGTCCCTAAGAAAAATCTGAAAGGTGGGTTATTGTTCCTTAACCCTCATTAGAGCAATGACCTGATATGGGTTGGTAGGAGCAGAATCTCAGGCATGTGCCTCGATTTCCCCAAATGCAAAATGAGAGAATTGGATATAGGTTATGTTTTAGGGTCCTCTCTGCTCTATCTTCTGGGATTTCAGGAGTAGAAAATGCCCACCAGACAGAGGAGTTAGGGAACTGATTGATTTTGCTATCTCTGCTGGGCAGGGCTAAGCAATTGCCGAGACATTTCTATTAATTCTCAGAAAGGTCATAGGAGGCATTGCCCCCGATTTTTTTAAAGATGGAGAAGCAGAGGCCTAGAGTCTCAATGGGATACGGCCAGGGGCACAGGGCTTGGAAATGCCACCTTGGGATGTGAATCTTGGCCTCAGCTCATCCCTCAGGGCACCCAGACCTGCCCTGAGTCAACCCAGCGTGAGCCTTCCCGTAAGATCAGGAGAAGTGGGAGTGTGGTAAGCAAGTCGAGGGTAACAAGTAAAAAAAAGTCAGAGCTTTGCATACCCAAGGTGGGCCTGCCACACCCACCCAGCTCCAGCATGATCACTCATCTGCCTGATAATATCTTTATTTTTAGATGAGCTCTGTGGCACCCACCCTGGGTTCTTGGCCAGGCCAATTTAGGAGTTTCTTTCTGAGTCAGGGCATCCTGCCTCCGGGGAACACTGGGACAGGCAGAGGATGTTTTGCTTTTGCTTTGATCTTTCTGTCCCCCAGCCTATTTAGGTTTTTGAGTGAATAGTTGATCTTGGATTTTTTGTTTAATCACATATATCTGACCCTGCTCTCTGAAAGCAAGGTCGATGCTCTTTTTGGTGAAGAGCTCTAGCACCATGGAGCTTTGGCACTTATTAGGTGCATAGGAAGCACTCTCAGATACTGTGTTTTTTCTTCTTTGATATCAAGTATGCAAGAAGCAAGCCAAGAACTTGAAGATACCTTCTGAATTTAAAAAAAGTTATTGTTTAGTCTGGGAAATCCTAGCTGTTAAGTATTTGGGGATAAACACAGTACTCTCCTACTGTAAATTTCATGGTCTAGATCAGAGAGCTGAGGCTTAGGGAGAGAGAGGCAGTAACTTAGTAATTTGTAAGGCTAAAATTGGAATTTGGAACCCTTGCTTTGAACCATGACAAAGAGCTCACACTATCTGTGCTTTTACTGAGGTGCTTAATGCATAGGATGCAAGGAAATGATAATGCTAGAGATGGTGGTGACTGAGAGGACACAGCTGATTCTCTGGTTTGGTTACAGAGCACAGAGGAACCTGATATCGGGGCCATCTGTGCAGCAGGAGCAATACAAATATTATGACATTTGAATCTCCCACACCCTTATAAGAAAGGGGTTTTCTCTCCATTTCACAGATGAGAAGACTGTGCTCAGGCAAGTCAGTCACAGAGCTTAGAACACAGGCCAGGCCTGTACTGAAGGCCGCTTTCTGTCTGCCCAGTGTGCTTTCTACACGCTATGTTCAGTTTTGTTCTCAGCTGCTGGAAAATTCTCCAGCAGGAGTCATCAGGCCTGATGTTGGCCAGGCCCATAACAGTGCCCACTTGGCTCCCCACTGCCTGTCCCCTTGCTTCCACACTGGCCTCTCCAGCAGTATGTGGGCTGCAGGGGGCTAACTACATTGGGTCAATTTGCATGGATGTAGGAGGAAGGAAAATGAAGCCATGTCACGAGTCAGCCAGGAACAAAACATGCTTGTCTGCCCTGAACGGGGAAAGATGAGTTGGAGGCCACTCACCTTTCTTGGTCTCACTCTCTCTGATCATGAAGGAGCCGACCTTCGTGTCTGGCAGCTGCAGCAGCTCCTCGGCCTTGTCTCTGCCCAGGCCCTCAAAGAGCCAGCTGGGAAGGAGGAAGACAGCCATTAGGATCCCGAGCAAGTCCTCCCCCAGGACAGGTGGGAATGGGCCACCCACCACACTGAGCACTTGAAACCTAATCCTCATCTGAACCCACTAAGACAGGTAGCATTATCTCCCTTTCACAGATGAGGATACTAAGGGTCCCAGTGATTTAGTAATTTGCCCAAGATACCATGTCAGCAGTTGATAGTGTTAAAATTAGAATTCACTTTTCTGGGACATCCAATTCTATAACCACCATACTTCACTGCTGCTCTTTTATTTATTTATATCTGGAGTTACATTATCCTTTATTTATTTATATCTGGAGTTACATTTATTTGTTTATTTATTGAGATGGATTCCTGCTGTGTCACCCAGGCTGAAGAACAACAGAGTGATCTTGGCCCACTGCATACTCCACCTCCCAAGTTCAAGTGATTCTCCTTCCTCAGCCTTTCAAGTAGCTGGGATTACAGGCACGTGCCACTATGCCTTGCTATTTTTTTTGTATTTTTAGTAGAGATGGGGATTCACCATGTTGGCTGGGCTGATCTTGAACTCTTGACTTCAAGCAATCCACCCACCTTGGCCTTCCAAAGTGCTGGGATTACAGGTGTGAGCCACCATGCCCAGCCCTACTCTTCCTCTTTGACATATTAGAGGATGTGATCACCTCTGTTAGATTGGTAGTCCCATGAGGTCATAATTATGTCACTCCTTTTGGTTCCTCACCACCCCAGCTCCCACCAGCTGTAGCTCCACAGCTTCAGCATGAAGGCGCTGATGCATGCAATGAATGAATGGCTCCAGGGTAAGCAGCTGATGCAGAAGATTCATGTGACTCACATCTCTTTCAGAACACAGCAGCTCCTGCTCCACTTTTGTTCATGTGTATCATCCTAACCATGGGAATGGCTTCTGGTATTCACAGTTAATTTACAGGACTCTCCTACCACATTAGCAGTTTACTACAGTACTGGTAAATAATGAATACTGAAATTAAACACGTGGAATTTCAGTCTTCAAAGGATTCAGATGGTTATCTCTGTCTTGCAAGATGAGCACGTGGCATGTAGAGTCTTACTCTGGACTTGAAGAAGTAACTTAGTATTTATCAATGGAGTCCTCCTTTCTTTCCCATTTCCAATATGCTGTTCACTTCTTCGCCAACTTCCGACTTTGGTAACTTGACAGATGAGGATAGTGTAACTCCAGGAGGTGAAGCCACTTTTCTAAGGCCCTCACATGGAAGTAGGGAAGCCAAGATTTGTGCTCAGGTGTGCGGGGCTCCAAAGCCAACCAGGAGATGGCAGAGACCTCACTGGCATGACTACAGGAGAAAGCAAGGTCCTTATTTTCTTACCTGCTGAGCCTGGTTTTCTAAGATTTCTCCAGTTCATCTTACAAATTTTTCAAGGAGGGCACATAAGCATTTTTGGCAGTAAGGATTCTGTGTGTTTCTGGATGGGTATTTGATTAGAATATAGCTAATAGTTATCGAGCGCTTACTGTGATGCCTGGCATTGCTCCAAGAACTATGCATCTATCATTATATCTTATTTTCCTAACAACCCTACACTTTGATCGTATTATCATATATTATTATCCCCATCGTTCTATATTATGATCTCTATTTCACAGGTGATGCATAAAAAGCTTGTTCACTATCACACAGCCAGTAAGTGACAGAGGCAGGATTTGAAAGTAGACAAACTGACTTCTAGTCTCTGTACCGTGCTGTGCCCTATGATAATGTTTACCACTCTGTTCCAGGAATACCATATTAGAACTGAAAGGCCTAACTTCCTTCATTTTACTGTGGGAGAAGTTGAGTTCCAGAGAGCAGAAGAGATGAATGAGCCCAAGGTTACGCCTTTCCTTATTGACTGGGTTGGGAGTAGGAGTATCTCTACTTGACCCAGTGCCTTCATTTCCACTGTAAATGCTGGAGTCTATGTTCTACCTTGTGAGTCACCAGCATAAGCATCATGCTTAATGGATGCCTTTTGAGAAATGTACTCACCCATGGTAGACTCTGGCCACACATATTCCAGGGATGTAACTCTCTCGACCAGTGCTAAGAGAAATAGCTTTCCACCAGCCCCCTTCACTGTGAGAATGAGAACAGAGAAGAGCACAGAGACAGGTAAATAGCAAAACAAAAGGATGAATGAACAGAGTAATCAGATTTAACCCAGGACAGACTGGAGCATCCCTCTATTAAGACCTGTCACTGGCCATGTTAACCCAAATTCCTTCATCTGAAAATTTACTTTTTAAAGTATGTGTATCCAATGGAGAGCCCTCCATTGCAAGCAACTGCTAAACCCTCCCATGTGCTAGAAATAGCTGCCTTTCAGGGATTAGCAGCTAAGGTTCCCAACTGTTGGGGGATTTTAAAAATAAATGTTTACTATATTGATTTATAGTCTAAAGTATAACCAAAGATAATCTCACATATCTGCATCAATGAACATTTAAATAAAAGGGGCTTATTTAGAGTCCCTGTTATGCTCTATAGCCCATATTGAATCAGACTGCAGAGGCAAGAGGAGAGAGGGCAAATCTTTTATATTTCTCATCCAAAGAATTTCCAGACCCTGGGGCCGCCTTCCCAGTCTTCATTCCTACATAGCATCAACACTGTACATGTGGTGAGAGATGAGAAGAATATGAGAAGAGGTTGGATCGTAATGAATTTCAAAAACCAAGTTAAAAAGTTTAAATTTGATCTACTGGGCAGTGGGGAACCATGGAAGGTTTTAGAGCACTGGCCACATTAAAGAGGAGGGTTGCAGTATGGGCCAAATTTCTCACCTCACAATAGGACCAGGACCCATGTGGAACTAGACAACTCTAGCTAAGTATCAAATGATTTTCACCCAAACCAAGTTTATCCTGTTTTGAAGATTGTAAAAGTTTTGGAGAGCTAACTCACTCAGAAATCACACGCAGTTTCTCCCCTCGGCGGAATATAGGGGGGCTGATGTCAGGAGATGGGTAGTCATTCAGCACAGCGAGGAAGTCACTATCCAGTCCTGGGGAAACAAAGGCAAGGGGGCAGGGGGCAGGGTGCTTTTTATTCACAAGGAGCTTAAAGGTAGCCTGGGAAGAAAGGGTATAAAGATGAGATTTTCGAGCAGGAGATACCTTTCTTGTTTAAACACTAATTTACGGCTATGTCCTCTCTTCAGAGACAGCAGTGCAGGGTCCACGTATGAGCCCTGAGGGTCAGGTGACATGCTCCTATTCTCAAGCCTGCCTTGGCCCTGATGTTCTCATCTGAGAAATGGGATCCAGAGCCTGTAAGCTGAGTCATGGGGTCTGATTCAGGGCCTGCCCTGAGTCTACTAGCCTCACTCTCTCCAACTTTAAAATGGGACTAATAATACCTCATTCCAGGGTCCTTAGGAGAGGAGATGAGAGTATTTTACACCACATACATTCACATAAGCTGCTATAAAAACACCCCTTCTCATTACCAATGCCTCGAGTGTCCACTCTGGGGCTTGGGGGTGTTGTGTCTGTGTCATGTTGGGGGAAGGGCTGCCAGGTTAAATGAGTTCCCAGGACCCATCAGGACCATGAGGCAGTAACTCTTAAACAAAACACTTCTTTCTTGCAGAATATAAGACCCCATACTGGGCATTTATTTAATAGAGACATTTGTTGAGGGTAGGGATGGTGGAAGAAAAATCGAGTACTTTTCCTTATAGTGTATTGAAAGGAATTCTGGTGAAGTTTTGAGAAGGAAACAGGGCTGTTTCCTGTGAGTATCATTGACTGTAGAGCAGAGACAGTGATTTTGCTTTTTGACACTTAGTGACACGTCTGCTTCCATCCTCAGTGATTTGACATAATTCAGGTGCATCAGAGGCAGGGTACTATTTGGGTACATTTTGGGGGAAAATAATAAGATGTCTTCCATATCGGCAAATACAGCTATTATTTGCCATGACTTTCATCACTCCACCTGCTGACTGGGTCTTCAAACTTAAAATTCTGGGTAACATCACCTGTTCATTCATTCTTTTGGCAACTACTTACTGAGCACCTGTCATGAGTCAGCATAGGTGAGCAAAGCAAGCCCATTCTTGCTGCTCTCATGGAGCTCACACTCTAGAGGATACATAGTCATGGGAGGAACTGTTTCCTGGTTTGCTCACTGCAAGAAGATCTGGAGAAATGCCAGCACTCAGGCATGTTGGCTCTATGGCCCAAACAAGCCACTTTCTAGGATCCACACACCTCTAGATCCTGCCTCCTACAACTCATATGTCTTATAGCCTTGAGTCATAAGTCTCCTGGGCAGACTAAGTCTAAAGAGAGATTAAATACTCAAATGAGTGAGAAAGAGGAAGCGGGTTCTGAGTAAGGTTATGCTTATCGGTTGATAAATGAATTAGAAACAAGCAATCGCAGTGGAACAGTGCACCCAAATGTATTGTTCATTTGGGGAAGCTGAGTCACTGACACTAAGCCACGTAAAAGCAAGAGTTTCTGGGTGTGAGGGAGAAACCAAAAGTGATCTTCAGTGGCTATCCAAGTCTTGGAGGGGGATCAGGGCTTTTGAGAAACAGTTAGGTTGGGATGTAAAAGGGCTGGCCCAGCCAGACCTCTGGTCTGTCCTGCGGCAAACCTCCCCTGAACCTGTGAGGGCAGCTCCTTCACATTCTGCTTCACTGAATTCAAAAAAGGGGTTCTTCCTTGTGTAGCTTTGACTCAACCCCAATAAGTAGAGGCAGCTTTACCATCGTGTTAACTTTGAAGCCAAAAGTCCCAAGTTCTCACACAGGGCAGGTTCACATTTGGCGAGGCATAAAGCTTTTGCAAATTTGGTGATCCTCTTTAAGAAAAAATACACAATTTTAAATACACAATGAAGGCTAGACCCCAGGAAGGTGCTGTACCAGCTAGGGGGTCTCAGAGGTATGATTTGTTTGGTTTCCTGGCACATCTGCCCAGAAGCTGAGGCTGACTTTGCTGCTCACTGAGTGGAACACCTCCTTCTTCTCTTGCGCCTGGGTTTCTTAGTCTGGGAAATTAGAAACACCTTCAAGGTGGAAATCCAACTTCCTGGACTAATGGCCCCCAAATATGAAAGGGCCATTTATTATCCTGGCACTCTGCTGCCTTGGCTACATGTGACTGACCTTTCTCCAATTTGCCAGGTGCCCTGGTTCTCAAAGCCTCTGGATACGCTGTTCCCTCTGTGTGGAACACAACCTGCTTTTCCCTCCTTCACCCCTCCCACGTTTGTCAACTCTAAACTCACCTCTGAAGAGGCTCCAGAGGAGGCTCAGCCTTCCCACTGTACTAATTCTTCCTCTCCGCCCCTAAGATTTTCCTTTGAAGCAATTATCCCAGGCTGCATTTTCCCATTTGTGTGACTGTCAGGGGAATGTCCATCTCTCCCACCCCTGGCTGTGAGTTCCGGGAGGGCAGAACACTGGTGTCTTCTGTGTCCTATAACCCGTGCTCCGCCTGTTTCGTAAAGGATACTCAAAGCAGGTTTGCTGAATGTATGGAGCGGTCCCTGTGCTATAATGCCCCTTAAACACAGCTGTCAAGCTGCAGTTTTAAAGCAGACCCAGGCAGAAGGAAACCTGATTTGTGGGAGGCCGCTGGGTAGGTGGCCACTGTGGAACCAGCCCCTTGTGAAAAGTGTTGAAATGGAGAGGTGCAACATGTGTTATCTGTGGCAATGATAGAACCTTGAGGTAGATGCTGTGTCTACAGAGGGGATTGAGGATTGATGTCAAGGTTAAGACGGTGGAACAGAACAATTGTCTTTCCTAACATTAACAACAAAAACCAACAGAAGCAAAAACAAAAGCAAAATCCCATTATAAAAACAACTGTTCCAATGAGGGAAAGGAGAGTTTCAGTTTCACAATAATGAAGTTAAGTTTCCTGTGGAATTTCCGTAACAGTGATGTTTTGTTAGCTAGGCACTTAAACATCACTGAGGAAACTTTGAATCTGGGCTTTTGCTTACAGCTCAGATAACCTGTGCCTAATCCTTTGCAAGAGACTTTGCAAGGTGACTATCTGCAGAGGTCACCTTTATTATCAGCATTAGCCAAACGGTACAAAGGCACTGTGAAGGTATCGCACTTTGGCTTGTACTTCTGTGGGGCAGGGTGGCTGTTCTAAGCAAGACGCGGTGCCAGGATCCCTTCATAGTCTTTCCTGAGCTTTGGTTGCTACTGAAAAATAAATGCAATGTAGGAAATTTCAGTTTGCTGGTAAAGGTGAAACATTATCATCTACTTCTAGAACTCCTTAGCTTTATGAAGAGCTCAAGCAGAAATAAATGAGTGATGCCAAGAAGAGGAGAGCTGAGGAAGTCAACGAAATTATTGCAGACTTAAGATAAGGCAGCAAATTAAGACATTTGCACTGGGCATGACAGAAACCCAGAGAGAATTTTTGGGACAGAGAATGAGCTTTGAAATCCATCAGAACTGGCTTACCCACCACCTCCACCACTACATGGTGGTGCTATTTGGGAGAGATTCATTTTTATCTAATTTGAGCTTGATTTCTTCATATATAAAAATGGAAAATGTCAAAATCTGCCTCGTAGGATTGCGTTAAGGATTTATGATGCATTGCACTTCAGGGCCTGCCTTAGTAAGTCCCCGCTAATGTTATTTTCATGAAGAGCGGGGTCACCGGACAATAACTCAAGACCAGTGTTGGCCAATGACGTTTCTAAAATTTGCAAACTGGTAGTATACACTTGAAAATTTCTGCTTGTCTAAAAATGAACTCTATTTGGTGGGAACAGAAGATGAAATTCAAAAGACCAAGTATTTGCTGATAGCTCAACTTAAGAATGGTTGAACAAATTGTACAAATGCATAAAATAGGAAATGAATCCCCAAAGGAGAGGGACCCAGGCAGGCCCTTACTGGACTTTGTCGAGAGGACAAGCCCTTTTGTAAATTGTCATTCCTTAGTGCAGCATAACCATTTCTTCCTTCCTTTCTTCCTTCCTTCCTCTTTCTTTCTTTCTTTCTTTCTTTCTTTCTTTCTTTCTTTCTTTCTTTTCTTTTCTTTTGTTCTTTTCCTTCCTTCCTTCCCTCCCTCCCTCCTTCCCTCCTTCCCTCCTTCCCTCCTTCCATCCTTCCATCCTTCCTTCCTTCCGAGTCTTGCTCTGTTGCCAGGCTGGAGTGGAGTGGCGCAACCTCGGCTCACTGCAACCTCTGTCTCCCGGTTTCAAGTGATTCTCCTGCCTCGGCTTCCCAAGTAGCTGGGACTACAGGCACCCGTCACCACACCCAGCTAATTTTTGTATTTTTAGTAGAGGCAGAGTTCACCACATTGGCCAGGATGGTCTACATCTCTTGACCTCGTGATCTGCCCACCTCGGCCTTCCAAAGTGCTGGGATAACGGGCATGAGCCACTGCGTGCAGCCCCTGACCATTTCTTTTTAAATGCTGAGGACATTCTCAGTTGCTCCCACTTATAACTGTCTAGATAAATGACTTCTAGCAAAACTAGTCATTTGTTACTTCCAGTGCCCTGCCCAGCCCTACAGAAAATATGCGATTATTCAAGGGTGAAGAAACTGAAGCTGGGAGAGTTTTAGTAACATGTCCAGGGGAAAGTGTGTAGATTTCAAAGCCTATGTTCCTTCATGGAGCCACATGGCCCTCGTTGGCACTTAATCTCCAAACTCTCCTCAGCTCACACTTGACCCTTACCAGGGGAGACAAAGCAGACTCCAGCTGAGTCTTCAGGATTAGCACAAGCGGCTCAGGGCAGCTGGCAGGTAGGGAGCTGTACAGCCCAGGGGTTGTAGCCTCTGGTTTTGCATTCCCTGGAGTCATGCCTAAACTCACGGTTTCCTAAGGGGTCAAAGCAGGCCTGACTTTTAGTGTCTTCAGTAAACACACACACACAAACACACACACTCTCTCTCTCAGACACACACACACACACACACACATACACACACACACACACACACACAGGATTATACATGTAACTAACCAATCACACAGAGCTGGGCCGTCTAGCCTAGTAGAA